CTCGACCCAGAGGCCTTCACGAGAGGTTGGGAGGTTGAGCAGGAGTTTGCAGACCCTGAATATGTCCTTCAGTTCAGACCTGTACCTCCTCCTCCACTTGTACCTGTGGAGCCTCCTACACCCCCGTTACCCAGCGCCGCTCAGGACCATCTGGCCCAGAGCGAGCTGGACTTTATGAGCTTCATGAACACATTTGATTTAGAAACAAAGGACGTCCTATCACCAGGCTCTCCGGACATGTCTCGTTTTGAAGGAGACATTCCCTTTGACGCTCCAAAGGACATGGAGTTCAGAGACACTTCAGAGACAACTTCACATGGGACAAAAAGGGCAATGTCTGAGCCCATTGAAGCTGTATTTTTGGAGACCCAAGTGAGTGCTCCAATCCAAAAAAAGAAGAAGAACGTGACTCACCAGGTGACAGACAATATAAACACGGCTGGTGTTTCATACGCAGTACCGGCCTCCTCTGATACCTCTGCTACGTCAAGGTAAAGAACAGAGCAAAAACACGTAGACATCCACTTTCCACATGTAAAACTATCATCTATAAAACCTCATTTTGATGGAAGAACCCAAACAGACATTTCCATTACACAATCTGATATTTCCAGAACAATAATTGCCCTGTATGTCCTTGTAACATAGAGTCTTGTGTTTGTAGCAGGATGACGAGGAGAACAAACCCTACATTAAGAAGCATCCCAATGTGTTCATGTTGTTCAGAGCTGAGCAGAGGCCCAAGGTAGTGCAGAAACTCCAACTCACCGACTGTGCAAAGTCAATGCGGTGCTGTGACAGAGGGTAAGTGGAATACACCAATCTACAGGAGCATTCATCACACACGGGCTTGGGTTCAGTCATGGACCAACGGTTATTAATACACTTCACAAATATAAAGTGTATCTGGTCATTTGGAGCAGATGTAAAAGCAGAAGACAGAATCTCTGTTTAACACATGTCTTGTTCCTCTGCAGTGGAAGAAGCTGTCTGAGCAGGAGCAGGCTTTGTACTATGAGCAGACTCCCAGAGAGAGAAGCGCTCACGAGGCCAAGTATCCTGGATGATCCCCCACGGACAACGATGTAAGAGCATCACACGACACACATCTTATATACAAGAGAATCAAAGACATGTATTATACTGTACACACACACATCTGGGTCATTTCAGTGCTTAAAATACAGTCACTACTATGTCTCCACCTGCTAGCACCATCTTAACAATAGTCATGTCTCTGTGTATTCACAGTGAAGGGAAATTGAATGCTGCCAACATTATTACTAAAACCCTTGTGTCATTTCAGGGCAAAAAGGCCAAGAAGAAAAACAAATGGCCTTCTAGTTGTCACAAACCATCAGCAGTTTGCCATTTCACTCAGCAGAGTGTGATGGTCTCCAGTACAACTCAACCAATGAGCTTCAGCCACCAGACCCAGGGCAACCAGACCCTACCCAACCAGGCCTTGTGTCTCCTTCTCCTCCTGCACCCGTGGAACCTCCTAATGCCCCATTACCCATTGGCGTTCAGGACCCAAGCACACAGGGTTAGAAAGACTTTGTCCTGGGAGGAGCCTGGGAGGAAACAGTGTTTGACTAGTTGGGTGGAAGCACAATTGGCAGAGAGCGGCTCTTTGCCCAGTGATGACGTCCTATCACCAGGCTCTCCAGTCGTGCCTCATGAGCCTTTTGACAAAGACATTCTCTCTGACTCTCCAGAGGAAAGTGAATGCTCCAGTCTAAAGAGGAAGAAAGTGTCTCATCACCAGACCACAGGAAATCAAAACACAGCTGGTCCTTCCTCTGTGCCAAGATCTGCAGTAAGTTAACATTCAGAATCCAAAGATATATTGTACTTTTTCATTATTTAACTATATAAACAGAAACATGTGAAAAGACATTTTCGTCATTCAAAGTGTAATTGTTTTTTTTTTTTTTACCTTTCAGCCAAATTATAACCCTGTCATCCACGTAGACGCGCTGACGTCCTTGGGTACACTGTAAGTACTAGAAACACTTGTTACCCCACTGCTTCTGTCCCATTGCAGTCTGTACTGATGAATGTGTTTCTGCTCTTATCTGCAGCCAAGGAAAAGAGCTGTATACATGTGCAGCACCAGCCTCTGATCCCTCTGCTACGTCAAGGTAAAGAACAAAACCATCTCTGCATTTAAAATATACAAACAATCCCAAGTCCCATGGAAGAATCTACGCAAACATACTTTGTTCTCTTGAGAAGTTATTGCACAATCTATTATTTCCACAGCAATAATTGCCCTGAATGTCCTTGTAACAGAGTCTTTTGTGTTTGTATCTGGAGGAAGCAGGATGACGCAGAAGACAAACTCTACATAAAGAAGCCTTCCAATGCATTGATGTTGTTCAGGGCTGAGCAGAGGCCCAAGGTGGTGCAGGAACTCCAAATCACGGACTGTGCGAAAGGCAATGCGGTGCTGGGACAGAGGGTAAGTGGAATACACAGTCTACAAGAGCATTCATCGGACACACGGGCTTGGGTTCAGTCATGGAGGGATGGATGTCGGGGCTCTGGTCTAACTATCACAATTTTTCACTAATCAGATCCTCGCCAACAGTAAAGAGGAGCATGAATTGTCGTTTGTTTGGTCAAAATACAGAAAACCAAATAATAATGAAGCAAAAAATGCAGCGTCAGAAGCCCCTCATATCATGACTGACACGAGAATACACAATGTTACACGCTCTTTTCACTATTTTATTTATACCAACCACCCCGACCCGCGTGTGTCCCTGTTTTGAATTTAGAAAATCTGCTCGCCCTATGGTAATATCTGTGTTTTGAAGTTCTGAGGTGAGTTTACAGCACAGGGCAGTAATGGCAGCGGTGTTTTTATGGTAGAGAAAAGTCATTTTGTGTGTGAAGTAGAGGATACAAAATGGCCGTCTATTTGTGGTCATCATAATGCACTCAGACACAGCCTGTGATGATAGAGATGGCACAGAAACAAAGAAAACATGAACCCACTGTGAACCCACGGAGATTTTCTAACATTTATTTGTACTGCAGCATTTATTCTCTATATATATAATGTCATCTAATGTTCGTTGATACTTCACAGTGACATCACGCTGAGGGGGTCCTATATATGTATCTCTATAGGTGGAATGTTCAGCAGTTACCATGGTGACATAATGCACAGTCACGCATTAGTAAACACAGACAAAAAAGTTTTAAGATCATCTGAAATAATACAAAATGGATTTAAACAGCACATTTTCAGGAGTCTTTGACCAATGTGAGCGTTCATGGTGCTGTTTAGGTGATTTTCAACAAAAAGTTGAGAGACTAACGGAAAAACTAACTTTGGACTGTCGATTTATGTGAGATAGACTTGTTAAACAGCACAAATCAGCAGCTCACCTGTTGGAACTCCAGATAAGTCCGCTTTTTTTGGTCAAATTGTGTTAAAATAAAGCTCAGATTAAAGTTTAAATTGAGTCACTGAGCGACAAACAGAGCAGTGCTTTCAGTTTGCTTCACACCCAAGAGAATGTTAATGACATTAGCTGCAAAGGATCAATTTTATAACTACCCAAAATGTCCAGATGTGCTCTAGCTCCTCTCAGGCTGCATTCACACTGTACGCTGGTTTAGTCCTGATCTAGATTTGGTTTGGTCCAGTTCAAGACCTAGTTTAGTTCCTTCATGTCTAGTCCAGGTTCTAGTGGCCTCATGTCCACCTGTCACAAATTAGTCAGGTCTTTGGTCCATGAAACAAACTTATTTTCTTACATCGCAGCAAATTAAAGCAAAGATGATGATATTTACAATAGTCTGTGCATATAGTGTACACAGTGTAATTCTATATAAGTTAGTGTAAAAGGTGTTCATATTTACAATAGTATATGTGTATTTAGTAGTGTGTACTGTAGTGTGTGAGGACATAGTGCCGATATACATGCACATACACACTCATACTCGTGTTTCACCGACCCGTCCGTTTACCGCCATCCCCGACTTTTCCTCAAATCGCCGTCGCAACAGTCAGGGACGCACATTTGACTGCTGCTCAAACATTCCTTTTGCCATAGCCATAGTTTCATTTCCAAACTTTCCTCCGTGTCTGCCGTCCCCTCAGTGTCCATCCTGTCAGTGTGCCAACAGTCTTCTGCATGTTGCGACGCGTAGGGAGTGCACGTGTGACGTCACGAGTAATGTCATGTCATTTTCCGTTTTTATAATGAATAATATATATTTTTCCATTTTGTCAGAGACTATTAATAGGGTATTTTTGTTTATGGTAATGTTTATGATTTTTCAGTATTAAAGGGGAAATGTATTTGTTTCTATTCATAGAGAAAAAGCTGTTTTTCATTGTTAACTGATTTGGGGGAGGAGCCTCGTACTATAAAAGGGGCTTCCCATCTTTACAGAGGCAGTGTGCACCGCAGGCACCAGCTCCAGAGTTATTTAAGGCCTATATCAGTGTTTCCCTAACTTTTTTATCTGGGGACCCATATTTTAAAAGTCACAAACCTGTGCCACTCAAGCCAATAGACATTATTCATAAATCACAAAATAAAGTTGGATTTGAACATTACTGAACATTAATGAGGATATTTGATTGTTGACTGAGTGATCGTGTCTCTGAACAATTAGTATTACTCAAGTTTGAAACAATGAAAAACAGTAATTGAAGCAGCAATAAAAGGATCCAGAAGTCGCCTCTTTGGACATTAAATGTAGAACATTTCTTTTTCTTTTCAACATTCAAGTGAACCAGCAATACTTTGAAAAACATAGTCAAAAACCAACACTCTTTTGACTACACCATAGTGTTTCTTTTTCATCAATAAGAACCCAGGACATAGTGTACGCAGTGCGATTGTATGTATGTTAGTATAAAAGATGCTAATATTTACAATAGTCCCTGTATATCGTGTATACAGTGTAATTCTTCTATAGAAGTTAGTGTAAAAGATTACATTAGGCTCTGTATGTATTGTATGCAGTGTATTTACCGATCATGGGCGACTCGATGAAGCTCCATGCGTTGCTCTGAGGCACGTAGGACTGCAGGACCCCAGCAGAGCGCCCGGCCTCGTTCACTCCTCCGAACACAAAGATCTTTCCCCCGCAGACCGTGGCTGCAGCCGAGTGCACGGGCTTAGGCAGAGGAGAAACCGTCTCCCACTGGTTTGTGATGGTGTCGTATCTGGAAGAGAAGGACGAAATATGGCTCATTAGAAAAATAGACTTAAACCAGACAGCGATCAAGGTACGAACTGAAGTCTATATAAAGGGTGACAGAGCAGACAAAAACTGTACGGAAGCCGAGAGGGGTCACAACAAACGCAAACGCCGCAACAAATACAAATGCGACAACACAACAAAAAGCCACAACACACCAAAAAAAGCCACAACGGAAGTGACCGCGGCACTCTATTTTAATGCAAACGCCGCAACAAATACAAACGCAAATGCTGCAACACATTAAAAAGCCACAACGGAAGTGACCGCGGCACTCTATTTTCCAACGGACCGATCAAGCAGCAAGTGAAGAAGACCTATAATGTGAGAAGTAAAGGAATGGAGAAGTTGGAAACGTAAGTAAAAGTTATTTATTGTTTTATCATTATTCGTTTCACGTTGTAGTTCTTCTTCTTCACTTGCCGCTTGATTGGTTTGTCGGAAAACAGACTCCCGCGGTCACTTCCGTTGTGGCTTTTTGATGTGTTGTGGCATTTGCGTTTGTGTTGTGGCTTTTAATGTGTTTTGGCTTTTTAATGTGTTGTGGCTTTTTAATGTGTTGCGGCATTTGGGTTTGTGTTTTGGCTTTTTGATGTGTTGTGGCTTTTTGATGTGTTGTGGCTTTTTGATGTGTTGCGGCATTTGAGTTTGTTGTGACGTTTGCATTAAAATTGAGTCCCACGGTCATTTCCGTTGTGGCTTTTTTTGGAGTGTTGTGGCTTTTTGTTGTGTTGTCGCAGTTGTATTTGTTGCGGCTTTGCGTTTGTTGTGACCCCTCTCAACTTCCGTAAAACTGCACTCCAGTAAAACGAACACAACAAAACGACAAACCGCAACAATAGAAAAACTAAATTGTATATGAGGAGAAAGAAACACAAATGTTCAAAAATCATTTCATATTGTCAACATCAAGCTGAAGAGGAACCAAAACTTAAGATTCTAGTACACTAAACTGTATGGAAAACTACTCAGTACAATTGTATTTAAGAAGTTCCTCAAAAGGCTGAACTGTGGCGAAAACACAACTATACAAAGTGAGTCTTAGCCTTATTCCTTCAAGAAATCAGAGGGAAAATTCTGAAGACTTTTCTGATTTTCCAGTATTTTTCTTAACCTTCCGGGCAGTGTCCCATTTCTGTTCACTTGCCTCCTTGACTCCTTGATTCCTCGGCTCCCCACTGAGGAGAAAAAAAAGGTTGTTTCCAGTTCTCTTGTCAGTAGAAGAGACAGACCGCTGAGGAGCCAAGGAATCAAAGAGTCAAGGAGGCCAGTGGACAGTGTTGGGATGGTTACTTTTAAAATGTATTCCCCTACAGATTACAGATTACATACCCCAAAATGTAGTTTGTAACGTAATCCATTAAATTACTTAAAGTGAGTAACGTAATCTGAATACTTTGGATTACTAGATTTTCTGGAGAGAAGCAAAGACTCGGAAATCTTTACATAAGATGTTTTGTCTGCTTAAAGACAATAAAAAGCCCAGATTTTCCTTAACCAAATTAAAAGTATTACTGATAGAAGAAGAAGAGACACGGTCCATGTGGCATGGTTTAGTCCTGTTAAATCCTGGTTTAGACCTGGTTTAGATCTGCTTTTAGTCCTGGTTTAGACATTGTTTAGTCCTGGTTTAGACCTGGTTTAGTCCTGGTTTTAGTCCTGGTTTAGACCTGGTTTAAGCCCTGGTTTAGACCTGGTTTAGACCTGGGTTAGTCCTGGTTTAGACCTGGTTTTAGTCCTGGGTTAGTCCTGGTTTAGACTTGGTTTAGTCCTGGTTTAGACCTGGTTTAAGCCCTGGTTTAGACCTGGTTTAGTCCTGGTTTAGACCTGGGTTCAGTTCTGGTTCAATCCTGATTTGGTCTTGGTTTAGTGTCTGGCAATGAGTGGAATTACCAAAAAAAAAAAAAAAAAAAAAAAAGGGATATAGCCCAAAATGTGAAAACAGGAAAATACCGCCATTTTATTTCGACAAAGTAACTGTAATCCAATTTCCACTCATGGAAACAGTAAATGAATACAGTCCAATGATCCAATTTGGAGAGATTTGTTAAACAATAAATGACTTTATAAAGTCACTTTTTTTGTTCTATATCAGTCTTTTGATCTGCCACAATAATGTAATAATGAATTTAAATGAAAATACCTCAAATTGAAGTATTTTCTCAGCAATTTTTAGGTGAGATTAAAATGAGATTAATTAGATTAATTAATTACAGATCATAATTAATTAATCTCTCAATTTTTTTAATCGCATGACAGCACTAATGATAATACACTTCAAGCTCAAGTCTGAGGTCCAAGTGGAAGACGGAAGATAATTGAACACAGGGTAAATCTGGAGCTGGGCGGAGAATCTGGCACCACCCTCGTCTCTGGGTCCACCCACTACTCACCTGCAGCTCATTCTCCAATCAGCCTACACCTCTGCAGTGTTAAAGACTGATTCAAACATCCACACCTCGACAGAGCAAGTTTATCCTCTGTGGGATCCAGTTCGGTTTTTCACAGTTTTGCCTATTTTCCCAGTGCTTAGTTTGTCTTTTTCCCTGTTTTCCTCACACTTGGTTTTTGGTCTACCTTGCTTTGGGCTTCACCCCAGCCTCTGACCCAACTCCCAGCAACCTGCATATTATTTTTGCAATTCAATAAATCCTGTTTTTGCCTTTCATTGTCTGACTTTTTGATCCGCCAGTCATTCTAACACTCCCTGTTTTCTGTCTCTGTGGTGACTCTGTGTTCTGTTTGTACTGACTTTGTATTTGTGTGTCAAATCCTGTATTGTATAATCAGTTTTCTTAGTTAACCTTGAGCTTTGTTACTCTTGTTTAAAACCGTGTAAATGATCTTTTCTGTAAATAATTTAGATTCCTTGTTTAATGTACTTTTACATTCCTGTTTATGTCTTTTAATTTACCATTTTTCCATCTTGGTTTTTAATACCTCCTTGACCCAAGTGGAGCTGGGTCGTAACCAGTGTTGGGGAGTAACAGATTACATGTACCAGAGTTATGTAATCAAAGTACAAATTATGAGTAACTGTATTCAGTTACAGTTACTGTTTCAGTGAGTGGTAATTGGATTACAGTTACTTTGTTGAAATAAGTGGATTACACGGCAGTATTTTCCTGTTTTCACATTTTGGGCTATATCCCCCTTTTATATTTTTTCCTGTAATTCCACTCATTGCAGGACAATAACCAGGTCTTAACAGGACTAAACCAGGTCTAAACCAGGTCTAAACCAGGTCTAAAACCAGGTCTAAACCAGGTCTAAAACCAGGTCTAAAACAGGATTTAACAGGACTAAACTATGACCGTGTCTCGTCCTCTTCTTCTATCAATAATATTTTTAATATGGTTAACTAAAGTCTGGGCTTTTTATTTTCTTTTATCAGACAAAACTTCTTATGTGAAGATTTTCCTCGTCTTTGCTTCTTTACAGAAAATCAAGTAATCCAAAGTATTCAGATTACGTTACTCACTTTAAGTAATTTAATGGATTACGTTACAAACTACATTTTGGGGTATGTAATTTGTAATTCTGTAGGGGAATACATTTAAATACATAAAAGTAACCTTCCCAACACTGGTTGTAACAGTGTGTTAAACCTGTGAGAATGAACCAAAAAAAACACAACTCCAGGTCTATTTGTGAAGAGGAAACTACATTAAAACAGACGATAGATCAGAAACAGAGTATTATGGAATCTTTAACTACCAAAGTTGCTGCTCCAAAGCTTATCTTATCAGTAAATATTTTCATTACAAGTCTCTCATTTGTCTTTTTAGCTGAAATTTTAACTCGCTCAAATCAAAAACTCAAGTAAGACAAACAATCATCATAACTATAAATGAATAACTGTTGACTGATCGGAACTTTGTACTCAATCCAAAGCAAAAACTCTCGAAGCGGGGGAGACGCGTAACAAAACTTAAGACAAAACGGTGTCGTGACCTTCTTTCCATTAAAACTACTCAACAGGGCGTCTTTTATATTCCCGCTAATGATTTATACACCCGCTAACGCCCCGCTGTTCCTCCAGTGCTGGTATACAACAAACCCGACTAACAGAGCGCTCCAAAATTCATTGCGAATGGCTGCTTTTGGCTTCGGGGCTGACAGATATAATTAGCGAGAATGCCTCCACCACCAGGGAGCATGAAAAAGACCGACCATTACGTACAATGACAGCAATTAAAGCAATTACACAAAGAAACATATGTCGAGGACCAGGAGCCATCAGTCTGCGGAATATGGGTTTGTGACAGTGTGGAGTTCAGAGCTGGGAGCAGAGATTTGTCATGGCTGCATATCAGAGTGGCTGGACTTTGGGAAGACTATAATTGTGGTTTTAACACTGGTTTTGAGTTGTAAATGTGCTTAAGAAAGTACTTTAAAGGGCTCGTATCGCAGCGTTTTCTGGTCTGTGTTATAATGGAGTTTTCACGTCACAAACGCACCTGGAGTTGTGTTTTTTTTTTGTTTCATTCATGTTTAAAACACAAACTGCGCAGATTTAGATGAGGAAACAGCATTAAAACGTGACTTAGGCTGCGTTTATACGATGACGATCTGAACAGAAGAGGTAAAAGTGGCATTGCATCTTCACTTTTTATTTTTCAATCTGTGGGCATACGGTGACGCAAAAGTGTGTGGAACTGGATTGTGTATGCATGCCAGGTGGCTCAGTGGTGACACTAGGTGGTGACGGATGTGACGTAAACACGTACACGACGTGAGCAGATCTGACCAGAGTTTTGTGTCTTGGGCGGTGTAGACGGAAACACTACGGCGGAGTGTATTCAACTTTTCTACTATGGAGGGTGATTTCAGATTTTTGTGTTTTTAAGCTCCAAAAACGCCGTCAGTTCAGATAAAATATTTAGCCGTTTTTACCTGCAAGTGTTCTTGTGATAACAGGCCCTTAAAGGTGCTCTGTGTAACTTTTCTGGTGAAGGGCCCGTC